ATCTAGGATGGTGGATTTTTCAAAGGGACATTACTATGCAACAGATCTCAATAACATCACATATCCAAAGCTTAAAGGACCTGCAAAAGACTCTAGGCACCATCAACTGGCTGCGTCTGGTGATAAAGAGTCTCCACAGACAATCTCCACCCACTGTTTCAGCTTCTGCGGGGAGATCCGGCCTTGACATTGCCAAGGAGACTTACGCAGGAAGCCAGGGAATCTTTAAACATTGTTAATCAAAAACTTTCTTCTTTGCAGGTCCAAAGGCATCTTTTAAATGTACCATCTGTGTTAATTATTCTGAGGGGTCCTCCTGAGGAGCCTGTGTCCGAATGGAAATGCTTTAAAGCATGGAAGGACATTTATAGTGTGTGAAGGGACTCCATTTTATGGATTTGCTCGTTCATACCCAGTTTTAAACATTGTTTGATGTGCTTTCCCCATATGGTTGTATTAACCCCATTTGCTTGTATAGCCCTGGATTTGCCCAGCTTGCCCCGAGCTGTTTTCCTGCCAGAAGCTGTTTACTCCCTCATTTTCCCGCTCATCCTGCGCTGATTGGCTGAGGAGTGCTGCAGTGCGGGGTGAGTCCCCATTGGTCCCTAATGCCCGACTCCTCCCAAGTTCCTCCTCCTTTCCTGAGTTCTCCTATCCTGTTGTGCCCTGAGATGTCAATCCCATGCTCCTCCCCTGTTACCAAGCCCTTCTGATCCAGACCCTATATAAGTCCCCGCTCTACCTCAATAAATTGCCATTGCACCCCGATCTTCTACCTTGTTGGACTCTCTTTGTGCAGTGTTGCGGTCCTACTCCCCTACCCACCGGACCGTGGCAGGGTCCAACACAGCTTTTTGGGCTTTTGGGCCAATTCCATCATAATCACACTCAATTTGCCGTATGGGAATGGATCTTCCTCCCTCATCAGTTTTCTAAAACAATTGTTTCCTTACCAGAGTTAATCTCCAAATTATGTTCAAGAGGCAGAACTAAGTGTTGGGAACTCTTGGTTGCAGATCCAGAGGAAATTTATCTACCCTTGACTTCCCATCTCCTAGAACAAATGTGGACAATTCACATGGAATTTCAAATTGCCTTCTTAGACTACGAAGGTCAAGTCAAAGTCCATCTGCCAGTGTACAAATTGGTTCAAAAAATTTAACAAATTCCATTATATTACAATTCTAATTGGTTGCCAAACCCAATTCCAGAGGCACGCACAGTTTTTACAGATGGATCAGGCAATACTGGAAATGCTGTGGTGGTGCGGAACGAAGGTGGCACCTGGCATCAGGATTTCCACAAAGTTCCAGGCTCATCACAGTTGGTTTAATTTGCAGTTGTTAGAGCCTTATCCCTTTTCCCAGATAGTTTAAATATTGTTTCAGATTCAAATTATGTTCTAGGAGTGGTTCAAAGATGTGAGCAACATACCTTAAAGAAATTAATAACCAACAATTATTTACTTTATTTAAGCAGTTAATTTTTGTTATTAGTAATCACTTTTCTCCTTTCTTCATAGTTCATGTGGGTTCCCATATAGCACTTCCTGACCCAATTGCCGAGGGGAATCGCCTGGCAGACCATCTAGCAGGAGCAGCGGTGGTTCCCCAGTGCATGGAACAGGCAAGACTGTCCTATGGCTTTTTCATCAGAAAGCCCTCCAAAAAGAATTTGGCTTGACAAAATTACAAGCAAAAGATATAGTGACATCCTGCCTTGATTGTCAATTGGTTACACCACTACCAGCAGAGGGAGTGAATCCCCGAGGCCTTGAGCCTCTCCAAATTTGGCTGACAAATGTCACGCACATTGGCTCATTTGGAAAATTTAAATTAGTACATGTGTCTATTGACATGTTCTTGGGCTTCATCGTCACCACTGCACATTCTGGTGAAAAGAGCTGGGATGTTCAAAAACATCTTCTTGCCACCTTCGCACATAGGGGAGTCCCCAGGCAAATAAAAAAATGGGCCCTCTTATATGGCGAAGAGCACACAAGAGTTCTTTGAGCTGTGGGGAATTGAACACCATACAGGCATTCCCCACTCTCCAACTGGTCAAGCTATTGTAGAAAGAGCCCATCATACAATTAAGACCATGTTGGAGAAACAGAAGGGTGAGTGTCGGACTTACCCCCCAAGAGTGCCTGCAGAATGTAAAATATGTTCTGAACTTTTTGAATAGAATGGAGGTAGAGAAAACCCCAGTGAGTAAGCATTTCTCCCCTTCAGGGCCTGTTAGTCCTACTCAGGCAAAGGTCGTCTATAAAGACTTAATAATGGGAAAATGGGTGGGGCCCTTTCCCCTAATAACCTGGGGGAGGTGCCACGCCTGTTTTTCCACAGATTGTGGACTGACTTGGATGCCACCATGATGGATACGACCTTTCAAAGAGTCTGCTGTGCCACAGTCATCATCTTCACCTTGAGAGTCATCAACCAAATGCCGCTACCTGTCTGAATGGAGCAACCACAAGAAAATCTCTGGGTATCTCTGGCTAAGGCTACGGGCACAGATACTCTGTGCCTGGTCTTAGCTAGTGTCAGAAATCCATTTCAGACCTGCCTCATAAGTGTTCTAGCTACCCCTGGGAAAATCTAGGATACATTTGTAACTCAGAGCAGAATTTCCAGACATGTTCTGTGGCGGCTGAAGAAGATGAGTGGGAGAGGTTCAGAAAATGGCATGAACTTTATGAGAACTAGTGATGGAGCACCGAAAATCACCAGAGGCTTCCAGTTTTACTGTCAGCCATCATACCAGAAATGGACTTTATTAATACAGAACATAGAGAACGTTAATGTATGTGTTATACTATTCTGTACCCCAGTTTTATTTGGTTTTGGCATGTTCAGACTTGTTTGACCCCTCATGTCCTTGTCCCTCTCATCAATTGGCTGGAATTTGCCACAGTGCAGGGGACCCGTCGTTGGTCCCTGTTGACATCATCTTCCCTCCTACCTTTCCCTATTAGTCCATTCCTTTGCCTGTCTCATGCTCCACCCACGTTTCTAGCAGATTCTCCCAGAGCCCTATATAAACCGGTGCAGTGCATTAATAAAGCGCAATAGCTCACGACCTTCCACCTTGTCTGAACCCTTATTGCTGTTGCGATCCCATTCCCCTACCTGACCGCGGCAATGTTCCGTTAACCCCTGTTACATTGTCACAGAGCATTTCCAGGCAGATTTTTGTTACAACGGAGCCACAGGAGTTAGACCTCCTGGGATCCATCCCTACTAGTTCTTGCGTGGTCTTCCACAAGTATACTAACAACAAACTTTTTACACCCCATGATATCTCACCTACCTCACGAATTTATTGGAACATTACCATCTGGTGCAATTATTCTAGTACCAGAATAGTAGCCACGGAACACATTCCGAGACCCATGAAACTCCCTAAAGGATTTTTTCTCATTTGCAGAAATAGGGCCTGGCAGGGAATCCCTTCATATCCAGAGGGAGGTCCCTGCACAATTGGAAAATTATCCCTCTTTAACACTGCTAAATTCAAACTGCCCGGACAAATTCAATCTACCTCTATCCAGTCCTCTCCTATTCGATCCAAGAGATATGTGGGCGCCTGGCACTCTAAATACCCAACTGCAAAAGATTCGATCCCAAAAGCTAATCACGCTCCAAATTCCGACTGGAGATTTACTGAAAGAAAAGAACCAATAATCAAAGATTTGACTCTAAAGGTATCAAAAAGAGACCAACCAGAAAAAATCTTTACACCCTTACCACCACTCCCATTCCCGGCAGACTGTGATTCAAAAATAGAGATCTGGTCCAGAATGAGAAATTTCTGGGTATCATTTCCAATCCCAGGAATCGGTGCTGCGCATGCCCTGTCCCTCTTAACCCATCTAGGCTGCTGACTAACTAAGGAGGCTAATGCCACCACCGCAGCCATAGAGGGGCTATTGGCAGACACCCAAAAACTGAAGGAAGTAAGCCTGCAAAATCATGCGGCTATAGACTTTCGAGGGTCTATGCTGCATGAATTTTAGTGACCATGCGCAGTCTGTACATAAAAGCAGACGCCTGAAGAAGTTAGTGAAAGATGTATCTATATCCCAAGATAAAGGCCTTAATAGCATCTTTGATTGGTTTCATTTTCCCAGCATCCGTAATTGGGCAAATAAAATCATAGTTGTCCTTGTTGTTTCCCTCTTTGCTTTCATTTCTATTGTAACATTCATACCCTGCATAATTCTTTGCATTTGTAAACTTTTGCTGAAGAGCTTTTCACAGGTCTACTTAGCAAAAAACAAGACGGGGAAATGTTGGGGACCAGGAGAGAAACAATTATGAAATGTGGAAGAAAGAGATAGACACCTGTGAAGAAATCTACGGCACACCTAAGAACAACATATTTACCAACTTTGGTAAATATGGTGACTATCTGGACTGCTGAAACGCTGTGTTTGAGTTTATGTTTAAAATACAAAGTATTTTTACCCCGGTTTTACCCCATTTTTATGGTTTTTAGAAAAATACACACGGTTGTGTATTCCCTTTTCTTCCCTTTCTCCTGATTGGTTTTTAAGTGCTGCATTGCAGCACTCCCTTATATGGTTATCCCTTTTATGGTCAACAATCCCCATTTATGGTTATGACCAACCCCTATCTTCCTTATATGTCTCCCATTTGCATGCTCCAACCTAATCCCGACTTCCTTTCCAGTACCTTCCACCTATACCCTTTATAAACTGGTGCACCTTTCAATGAAATACCATTTCACCCTCTAACTCCAGAGTGGTCGAACCCTTATTTCCCACTGGGCCGTGACAGTCCCTCCCATGGGAGACAGTTCTCCACTATCTTCTCCAATGTGAATTCATTCCATGGGCAATGATTCTCCACAAGCTGTTGCCACATGGATCACTCTTCCAGAGGGGGCAGTCCTCCAGGCAGCATCCAAATGAGCTCATGGACAAGCCTTTGCACCTCATGTCTCACCAGCATATGCTCATTCTAGCAGATGAAACTCCAGTTGGGAAACCAGGCTGATGCTGGGACAAAAGTGTTCGTCAGGAGTGCAGGTCTCTCCCAGCTCCTCATACAGATCCACCCCTGCTTCCAGCTCTGTGCATTCTATCCCAACACAAACAGCCAAAACAGGTGAGAATTCACTGTCTTTTAACAATATATTTATTTATTTATTTATTATCCATTAAAGAGTCGTCATCATCTGAAGTAAAGTACCCCTGCTGGTACTGGTAGCAGGGACACCAGGACAGTGTGGGCTGGAGTGAGTCCAGGGAAACCCAGTTCTCCCGTGAAGAGGCCCTGTCAGCCAGAGAGCAGCTGGGACAAGCGGGCAGAGGTGTGGGGTCTGTGCCCATGTTCCTGTATAGCTGGGCGAGCTCTGCCGCAAAGATCCCTGGTGACAGGCGGCAGCTGTTGTTGAACTTGGTGTTTGCTTGGTCTCTCTCGCCCCTTCCTGCTCCTTCTCCTGACTCTGCTTTGCTTTTATCTCTAGATGGAGATAGAGATTGAGATAAAGAAAGAGACTCTTCCCAGAAAGAATCTCACAATGGCAGCTTGTCCTTGTGCTGCTCTGTCTCCCTGGGTCCTTCTGTACAAGAGATTTCAGAGGAGTCTACTCATGGATATGAATTAAGAGCCCAGTTAAAGGACCATACCATGGAGATTTTGGCAAAGTGCTCCCAGGAGCTGCCTTGGCCCTCCAGCACTGTGCAAACACTCCATTGCCGATGGTAGCAATAAATAACTCTCATGAAAAGCCAACTCACGTGTCTCTCCTTCTCAGCCGTGACATGACTATGGCACAGACCATTATGGTAAGCAGGAGCACAGCTGAGGCTGCTACAGTTCCTAAGATATAGTTCTTGCTAAGTCCCTGATAGTCAGCAGTTTTGGCTTTTTCCAGTGTAGCTGACCCTGACAGGAGAAAGGACAATGCACAAGACAATATTTGTGCTCTGCACT